ATCAAATTGGTTCTGGGAAGTGTGAAATCAAAGTTGCACAACCCAAAGAGGTATATAGGCAGCAACAGCAACAACAAAAAGGAGGAAGAGGTGCTGCAGCTGGTGGACGAGGAGGTACTAGGGGTCGTGGCCAAGGTCAGGGCCAAAACTGGAACCAAGGATTTAATAACTATTATGATCAAGGATATGGAAATTACAATAGTGCTTATGGTGGTGATCAAAACTATAGTGGCTATGGCGGCTATGGTTATACTGGGTATAACTATGGGAACTATGGATATGCACGGATATGCAGACTACGGTGGCCAACAGAGCACTTATGGCAAGGCATCTCGAGGGGATGGCAATCACCAAAATAATTACCAGCCATATTAAAAAGGGACGTTGGAGAAAACAGGAAGAGATTGCTAAAGCAACCCATCTTGCAAGGACAACATTGAAGTTTGGTCTTCTATTGATCTAAGATGATTATTTTGTAAAAGACTTTCTAGTGTACAAGACACAACTGTGTCCAATTGCATGTAGCCGCCAATTGGTTTTGTTTTTACTTTTTTTTGCTATCTGTGTTATGACTCGATGTGGATTTGTGTTTATACAAATTTTATTTGTATGATTTCATGTTAAACCTCAAATAAATGCGATTGTTTTTCTGAGTCAGGTACTAAATATCTCTGTAAAAGTGTAATTTTAAATAAGTGATAATTAAGGTACAGTTTATTTTGTAGGGAGTGTTGATCCATAGGGAGAAACTGTGGTCCTTTACTAACCAGCTACAGTGTCTACTCTGTTCCCCATATTTGTTAGATGTATTCTGTCTTCTAAGGCTTCATTTCCCTGTTAACTGAGGTTCCCACGTAACTTTATGTTTTCTCTCTGTATATCTGGAGCCTTTGTCATGAAAGTTTCTGTGGCTTAGTTATAGTGTGTGATTAGTGGAAGTTTTCTAGTAGACCATAAGTCTTCTGGTTATATTTTGAAAAGTAGCTTTTTAATGGCACAAAGCATGCTGTTAGCTCCTTTTATGAATAGAAAATATTTTGCTTTGTTCTTGTCTCTGGGAAGGCATTTGTTATGACTTGCTGTATTCAGTGGTCTGCTGGAAAGAGCTTTGGCTAATCATAATAGCCTAACTTTGTTTTCTTGATTAAAATGTCTAGATATACCCAGGGGAAAAAAACACTTGAACTGTGTTACAGGAGCTACAGTTTAAGAATATCAGATGTAGTTACATTTAACACAAGGATTTTGGCAAATAGGTACGAAGTTATTAAAGTCTGAACAAAAGTTAGATTAAAATATTTGAAGTAGCGGCTGAGTAACTAAAGTAGTTGTACACTATTCTGTTGGTATTATGTCACAGCACCAAACTGAACAAAATGTTTTCTGTCGGGGCATTTTTAGGAAGCTATATTGGGTGTTAGCTGATGTGGTGTGAGTTCTTAGAATAAGTCATGGTAGTAAGTTTCATCATTTTAGTGCAGTTAGTGCATGAGCTGGGTAGTTAAGCATATCCATATTCAGACATAAGGAATAGTGGGGAAAGGTATCCCTTAAATCTTATATAAATGCAAATCTAAGTGTGACCAACTCATGTCATTACAACAGATCTTCCTGGTGCATTAAAAAGAAAAACAGTTTTAGCTATAGATTTTGTAGGATGACCTGGGTAAATTCCAGTTTTGAATTTTACATTGTGTAGTTACTGAATTTAAGGTCTCTGTTTTTGTTTCTGTGGTTCCATGTTAGCCATTAGGATTGGCATACATGTTAACGTGTGGAATAGCTGACCTCACCTTCAACCAAGTGTTAATTTTTTTATGCTAATGAACCTGCCTTTTTTATCTGGTGCCTGCAACTTTCTTTGTTCCAATGATGTTTGTACTCACTGGGCAATCAAGTTATGCTTTCGGCCTTCTTTTGCTCCTGTTTTGCTCTTTGATCTTACACCTAGGCCAAGTACCAATGCTGACTATTGCAAAGGACTGTTTAATTCTTTCAACATGCAACCTTAGGGAACAGAAAGGAGATTTTCATTTTAAGTTATGTTGTCAGTCAGTAGATACAGTGTCTTTAGGGCAGTGAATCCTGTAAATTCAAATTTATGATTAGATGACAAGTTGACATTGAGATTGTCCTTTCCCTTATCAAAAATGAATAAAGTCTTTTTAAACAAAAAGAGAAAGTATGTAGTGTGTCAGATGTTATGCGCTATTTTCTCAGCTTAAAATAGATATATCTGGGTGTATAACAATATGACTAAATAGACAAGAACTTGGCCGGCAAGTGACCCTTCAGTTCTAACTTTAACTGTGGTCAAGTTCTCTGACTTCTAGCCAGGGGAGATGGTTTTTCCTGTTGTATGATTTCTACATCTGTAATGTAACGTAGAAATCTGATAGTTTAGCAGGCTTTTTTCTTTATTGACCACTACCCAATATTGTCAAAGATACAGAGAAAAAGACACTCCTCTACAGTAGATGGGGGTGTGTATATTGACACAACTTTCCCGGAGGGAACTCTGGCAATACTAAAATCTTTCTAAGAGAACTTTCAGTTCTCTCTCCTATCCAGATGAATGTTTCTTTCTGAGACAAGGGTCTCAAATTTTGATTGGCATTGGAAACCACGGGAAGCTTGGTAAAAACACAATGGCTCAGGCCCTATTATCTTCAATGAGGCTGGGCCTCGACGGTGATTCTTTTACAAGCCAAAGTTTGAAAAGTACTGCCCTAGCTCTTCACCGAGCCAACCGCTCTGGCTTCAGACCTTGGCTTAGATGTCACTGCCTTGAGGAATGGTCTCTAAACACCAACGCGTCCAGTGTCCAGAGGAGGCACCATCCTCAGGGATCCCATGAGGGCCACCTATGAACTGCCCAGTCCTATCTTTCTCCACTGCAAGAAGGCAAGACTTCAAGAGAACAGGTAGTGTGTCTTTTTTTTTTTTTTTTTACCGTAATATCCCCAGTACCTAACACCGTGCCTGACTCATTGAATGAGCCTCAAAAATATACCCACCCATTGTGAACCAGCATTTTCACATCTAGGAATTCATCCTAAGGAAATAAGGGAGAATGTACTCAAGTATTTAGCCATAAGGGTAATGAAGAACTAGGTTTATGATGACAAGATATTGAAATCAAATGTTCATCAGTAAAGTGAAACTAAAAGATGCTGTCATTAAAAGTGATGTATTCAACAAACTGCAAGGGAAATTTTTTAAAGTGATAAATAGAAGAACCTATAGAGACTCAAGAGATATATTAGCCAATTGCAATGAATGGAACTTACATGAATTCTGATTTGAAAAATCTTTTTTTAAAGAACACACTTAAGACATTGGGAAAATTTGAATATTGACTATATAGTTTCATATTTTAAGGAAGGTGATATGATTTTTTTAAAAGTCCTTTTTTTCCCCCTTTATGTTTTTAACTTTTTATTTTATATTGGAGTATAGTTGATTAACAATGTTGTGTTAGTTTCAGGTGTACAGCAAAGTGATTCAGTTATACATATACATGTATCTATTCTTTTTTGGATTCTTTTCCCATTTAGGTTGTTACCTAATATTGAGCAGTGTTCCCTGCAGTTACACAGTAGGTCCCTGCTGGTGATCTGTTTTAAATTTAGCCACGTGTACAAGTCAGTCCCAAACTCCCTAATTAACGCCAACCCCCCACCACCCTTCCCATCTGGTAACCCTAAGTTTGTTCTGTTTTCTGTTTTGTAAATAAGTTCATTTGTATCATTTTTTTAAGATTCTGCATAATAAGCGCTATCATACGATATCTAGAGACATACTCAACGATCTGTTGAAATGTCTGGCATTTGGTTTAAAAAAAATGAGGAAGAGGAAAAATGGGTGGGAGTATAGATAAAACAATGTGAGCCATGAGCTAACAGCTACTGAAGTTATTGTCTCTACTTTTGTATATGTTTGAAAGTTTCCATAACAAAAACACTTAAAGAAATCCTTCCCAAAGTGATGCAGATTACTTAAGGACTTAGAAACTTGTTCCTCATTTACTAAGTGAAAGAAGCAGTTGGCAAATCAGTATGATCCCATTGTATATAAATATAATACATACACCCAAAGGTCTAGAAGGGTATATACCAAAGAAGTAACAGCTTGCCCCGTACTTGGTAACTGTCAAATAGAACTTCCTAGGATGACTATGCTCTGTTATCTGCCCTGTTCAAAACAGTAGTCACTGGGCACATGGCTAGTCAGCTCTTAAATGTGGCCATTCCACAGATGAACTGAACTCTTAATTTTGTCTAATTTTAATTAAATTTCAATAGCCACATGTAGCTAGTAGCTACCATCTACTAGCCACACATGAACATCACAGGCAGATGACGGAATTAGGATGGAATTCTTTTTACTTATCATTACTTGAACATTTTTCGACGATGAAAAAGCACTGTTTTGTTATAACGAAAAGTAGGCTGTTTTCACTGAAAACATTTACTGTCAGTTTGGATTCTCTTTGTCAAAGAACTATTATGAAAATGAAATGAAGTGGAATAAAGCAAATTACATAGAAAAGTTTTAAGTGTCTGCTTTCAACTAACTTTTAAAGGAAAGGCAAAAGCAGGCAATTCACTTCCAGGTCTGTTCTTTCAAGCCTCTATTCCTTCAATCTCATTTCATGCAAAAACATGTTGTTTGTTTGTTTACTAAAAGGATTGAGTGTGAATGTGTTGCCTAGATTAGAAACTTCAACAGATATCTCAATCATAATAGAAAAAAATTAGAGCGACAGCAAAAAAGGCCTTTTGTGGTTTTTAGCTAATGAACTGGGAGCCATACAGCTCTGTGATCAGGCAGAAGAAAATATTTAAAAGATCAAAATGGATTTCATGGTTGAAGCAATCAGCAAATAGGATCAATCTGGACCAGTGTGACAGAGTTGGAAAGGAATACAGGACCTTAAACATGACAGTTGTTAACAGGTATGTCTGCAATTGTAGTTCACAATAAAGTGGAAGTCTGAGCATAATAGAACTACGCCAGAGGTGAGATTTTTATTGACTTGACATAATTTCTTGGCATACAAAGAGTTTAATCAGGTATAATATTTACAATTCTTACATAATATACATTTTAGAATAACTATAATGTACTTTGTTCCATTTACAGTGACATCCTACAGTAAAACTACATTCATGAATTAGATACAAATAAATCCTCTACATACTAATAAAAAGTAAATGGATTGTTGGTTATACATTCTTTAAAATATACCTTTTCACAGGTAGCAGGAAATATTACATGTAATAAGTCTTTATGACTGGAATGATCCAGAAATATCACAAAGCACGAGTAAACGCATATAGAAAAGTAGCTCATCACTTCCAAAAGTTAACCTTTAGCCTTTGTGTAAAATAAATGGTGCCAACATTCTTTATAATGTAGCGAGCTTTCCCTGTTTAAAATGAACACCCAAAAGGTGGGAGGTGTGTTGAGGAAAAAATAAGAAAATGTAGTACATAAGATAGTGAAAAGAGCAATGTAGAGAAAAGTTTACTTGATCAAACCTTACTTCCCTCCCCCCATTACCTTATTTTAGTAGATAAATTTATGTAAATAGAAAAGGATGCCCCCCAAATCATATTTATAGATGTCAGGATTTGGCCAAACTGAATCCATGCCCCTTTTAGTTGTCTTCGTTTAGAAGCATCAAGAAATTGATAAGCATATGTGAATTCGAATTGCCTTTACAACGTTTTGCCTTCATCAATGTTTGTTATTGCAAATATATAAAATTCCCTACAATTTAACGTATTTAAACCCTAATCTATTCCTTTAAAGTAATTTTATATCCAGGTCCTCCAGAATACTTGGAGTCTTCGTTATCAAAGCACAAGGAAAGCTGGCAGTCATTATCCAATTTTGCTGCTTTACAATGATTTCAAATCATTTCATGATATGAGTAAAGTGCCTCTGACTACTAGTCAGACAGGGGTTCTGGTGTCAGCTACGCCACCAACCAACAAACCAGTGACCTGCTCTGTAAAACAAGAGGAGCAGCCCAGGATCAAAGAAGAGACACTGTTGGTGCTCTTAGATTAAGACCTCAGAAGTCCCTACTGTGAGTCACGGCAAAGCACACTGTGAGCAGGTGTGAGCAGCGGAACAGCACACCAAGGGATGCTGTTACAGGACACCTTGTTTCGTCCCACTCATTTCATTTGTGAGGAGCTCTGAATCCAGTAAGGGTAGTAAGTAACTAGTCAGTGCTCTTTCCACTATATCATGCAGGTCTGAAGTCATTCTGAACAGACAATTCTATAAAAATATAGCATTTTTCCAGCTCATGTCCATAGTCGAAAGTGCTATCAAACAGAAAAGTTAATTCCACAATATAAGAGTGATATGGGAATATCTTATTCAAAATGGATAGTAAATTTAATCTTAAATACAATTTGGTTTATCGTGACCCCACTTCACATGTGTAAAATTATATTTTTAAAATACTGCTTTAACACATCACAAACTTAAGCTGTCCAGACTGTGAAAGTATAAGGTTTTTTCAAAATGCACCCATGAAGAACCAAAATAATATTCCAAATAAAATCTGTATGTTTTACAAAGTAAACACCAAAGTTGATTAAAATCTACAAAGACCAGTATAAATTAGGTAAACAATGTAATATAGTGAATCCCTGGAAATTTCTGAATTTCTAAGGATTGTACCAAAGGTAATAATTTTTAAAACCTTAGAAATCTTAAACATGTAAGTGTTACAATGAAAAAACTGCAAATAACTATGCAATTACCTTTAGTCTAGTTCTAACATGAAACTGTATTTTATGAATTCCTCATAGTATTGCTATTCTTATTTTCAGATTACTCTAACTTTTAAGTTAATGAGTTAATGGAATAATGACAAGGAATCAGAAACTAATACCAGCAGATCAGTGAGGGAATGAAAACAAAGGACAGTCAAATTGATTTCTGAAGCCCAAGAGTATGACTAACGTTGTTTAAACTATAATTTATCATGATACTGAATAATTCACAGCATAATGAAACTAAGATTTGTTACATACTACAGAAAGGCTATTAGTTGACACAGCTAATTCACCTTGGTTAAGAGCCAACCTACTCTGTAACCACTTGTAACCATTAATTTACTTTAAAACCTTGCTGTTACTCCTGCATCATTTCTGCCAAATTTAATCAAAATTGGGTCTCCGCATATTCAAGAAGTCAAGCCACAGAAGTGTATTTTTGTACGTACAGGCTCCCTGTACTGTTAAAGATTTCACTTTCTCTGAAGATATTCAGAACCATGATCTTTTAGTGTACTTCAAATACATCTCTAACAATTAAATTTAAGTAGACATTAATTACTGCCACATTAACAACTCATGACTGAAGCCACAGGAGTTAAGAGTATGATCAAGAATTGCTTTTACAACCAGAGATCCCAGAAGTGATCTGAAGACCAAAGGCTGGATCCAAAAGGTAAACTGCCTAGGCTTCCTCAGATAAAGTTCAGATGAATTCCTAGGAGCAAAACAGGAATAGGCACTACAAAGGAAAAGTGAGGCTCTCTTTTCTCTTTTTTTCTTTCTTCCTTTCTTTGTTTCTTTCTTTTCTCAACATATTTCCTTCTCCTTGAGATTTTCGGACAATTAATTTCAAAGTACACTAATAAAAATGCTACAAATCAGACTTTTGCAAAGCCCGGTGACCTGTGACTCTGAGGTGAAACAGGAAAGATTTAAGGTTCCTGGTATTGTTGCAATTAAAATACAAGGCTTTGGAAGTTAGCATTTCCTTAGAAATAATCCCTAAATATATTTGTATCCTTATCTAATACACAGCAATTATTACTAAATAAGCATTATATGCATGCAATTTGGCCAAACAAATATGGAACCTTTTCTGTGATACGAATTTATGTCAGTATAATTCCTGTTTAGACAGATTCTGATTTGATGTTCAGTCAACTTAGAAAACTCTACTTACTGGTGGGAAAATGTTAGAAAATTTATTATCTACCCAATGAAATATAATTTCTGTACTCATTTGGCAACTCAAGTTTAAAAACCTCTCATTTAGAAACTGAGTATCAATAATATTACTTACATGTAACTTGAAAAATAAAGTTAAACTTAATTATGACAATATCAGAAAGAAACCATAAGGCAAATTACTTATTTTATACTCCTGACAAGATACGTCAATCAAAGATAGAATCAGACTAATCTGTAGCATATACCTGGAAAATTAGTATACCCATAATATTTTGGAATTCAAGGGTCTGTGATTCATGTAACTAAATACTAAAGCTATATAGATGCTATAATTTAAAAGAATGTATACCGTGTACAACAAGTACACAGGAGATGTTAGAAGAATTAAAAAGCCATTTATTGCTGTATATTTTAGTACAAACTAAAAAAACTTGAGTCTTTTTTACTCCTTTTACAGAGATATTTTTCCTTTCACTAGGAGCAATAGCAAAAATGTATCTGGAAAAGGACACATTTCAAATACAAAAATGTTCTACATTATTTTATAAGTCAACTTTTCCTTTGATAGTTACAACTGATGAAAGCATAATTTTGCAACATTCAAGTAACCTTTGAAACACAGTTTTGTTACATCAATAAATTTGTCAAGGTTTTAGGAAATCAACTAAACAATGAAGAACTACAACTTCTATGAGATTCTTTTGGTAATTAAAAAAAAACTATTGTCAAGGGTTGTTTTTTTTTTCCTTCATAAAATGGAATAAATCTAAAGGACTGAGTTATGTCAATCTGTACAGCCACTGTATGTACGTTAAAGTACTGGACAATAACTGAGGAATATAACTGCATTTTCGAGCAAATGGGGGGGGCATATATTCTCTAGTTCTAATAATTAAATTACATATTGTGTATATGACAGCTAGGCTACCAAGAAACAAACAAACAAACAGAAAAAAACTATTTCTGAATCACCAACATCAGGGAAGCTAAAGCAAAGACATATTCTCAAGTCAGGCAGGACATCAGGCTCCCACTCGATGCCGATATGCTTGATTGAACAATCCTGGGCACGGTGCACAGAAGAAAAAATTCAATGCTACCACCCACTGGGAAAAAAAGATTATTTTGTCTAAACTCTTAGCATCTTGTAACCTAGAGATGGCCTAAGTCTAGATTTAAATTTTAATCTATAAAAAATAGCCCTTTAAACAGGCTTTAAAAAAAATTTTTAATAAAAGAAGTCTTAAAGTAGGTTCCTCTCCCAACTACTAGAGATCTATGTTTTGATTTATAAAAATATCAATGAACGGGTACCTTTTCCCCAAACAACTCAATAGCTACTAAAAGTAAGTAGAATTAAAGAAGTAAAAATCTGTGAGCTTTCAGATGTATACTTTAGGGAGTCACCAGATTTACTATTTTCCCCTTCTTAAAAAAATTCAAAATTTCTGTGAATCTTGCTGGAAACGATTTAGTTTCTCTGGATTATTGGATGCCATTTGGGAGAAATCACGAAAAATATCCTGGTAAGTTTCATCACCTGCATGAAAGTAAAATGAGGAGACTTTTAAAATTTACACAATTGAAAGTATTAATAAACAACATTCATTTTTACGACTAGTAACTATTTTATAATTCATTACATTAAAATTTTGTTCAGATGAGCATTTTTGGAAGAAAAAAGACCAACTAAATATAAGTGCTGGAAAAGTATACAGTGGAAGAAAAAAAAAAAAAAACTATACCTGAAGAAAGCACCTCAGATGCAGCCACAGAGGAAAGTTCAGAGTTAGAAAAGAGCAAAGATGCAAGTGTTTTAAAGCAATATAAAGAAATACATTTATTAACATATGAGAAATAAAAGTCATTCTAAATGAGGTAAATCACGTCATTCTAAATAAACAAAGCATTCTTTAAATAAATATTTCCCTTGATCAAGGCCAAAAGAAAAGACCAAAAACAAACACTAATGTTTCTGTTGGATGCAAGTTATTAGCAAGACAAAACTAATAACCATGTGGGAAAAAAAGCCTCATATTTTAATATTATCTTTTAATTAAAGGCATTTTAATTTAAATAGAATGTGAAAAAGTAAGTCTTTACTCAAACTTTAATTCTTAACTCAAACTAATGCACCTAATCCACTTTTTACTAGGCTTATAAAATAAAGCCTAGAAAATGACTTTAAAATCATTTCACATTTAGTCAGTTTTTCATTTACTGTAGGTCGTATGAGCAAGGATGCTATGACAAAAGGGGAATAAATATCAAAGACATCTGTTAAGTTAGAGTAATACAAATGTTTATACGTACAAATGTGCTTGTAGAGAAGATTATAGATACTGATATTATAGTGGATTGAATACTATTTTTCTTGCAATGAAAAACTAAATATATAACACACATAGAGGCTAACTCCTCAGACAAAAGATTTGTATAAAATGAAATCTTATTTTCAAGATGAATCATTCATCATGAATGCTTCCTGTTAAACATATTAGCTTTATGCAGAAGCTGGGCATAATTCTGTTTTCTGATTTAGAAAACAGAATTTAGACTCTGTCAAATACTGTTTTAGATGATTAGTGTTGGAACATGGTTTTATAATTATTCCCCATAAGATACCTTGCATCCATCTTATTATACACTCATTGCTACAGTTGTTAATAGTGCAGTAAGTTCTGTCAGCTTTTAAAAAGTGAGATTTTTTTGAGGCAACAGATGTCATACCAAAAGCCAGAGAATTAGAAAAAATCTGGGGGAGGGGGATACAGATATAGTAAAAGGTCTAATAGCATAAACCAAGATTTTCAGTAAAAAAATGTTAATGCTTTTAATATTTAGTCAATGTAAAAAGCAAGTTATTAAAATCTCTACGTAGTTTTTCATTTAACCCTGGAAATTTTCTCATGACCTGAATCAATCAATCTACTTTAAAAAGAAAAAATACAGTAAGAAGAGAATCTTAATAGGTTGGCTAAGAGTAACATCTAACTCATATTATTGTTACTAAAACAATAAAGGTTGATATGGTGGAACAATGGGTAAGACAATTCAATTACACCCATGTTTCATTTCATAAAAGTTTAACCCACATTAAAAGACAAACTACAATCTATTCCCATTATTAGCCACTCTAAAAGATATAAAATAAACTGAGAAGAGACAAACATTAAACATCACTTAACAAACCATATAAAACATTTAAATTTTTTTCTTATTCTTAGATGTTGAATTCAAATATTTAAAATATTTATTGTAAACATTATAAATATTTTAAAAATACTACTTAAACTGGAGAGTCTGGAGTTTTACTTTCCAAGAAAGTGTAAAGTGCAGATTATAATACAAAAATACCACACTGATTTTACCATTCAACACCAGAAATAACTTAAAAGGCACACATTATACATTCAAGAAGAAATAGGAAGAAGTATCTAATAGATGCTAATGCCAAATAGTTTACAGATAGCACCAGGTGAGCAATCTTAAGTATTACAACAGTACAATGGCAATATATGGCTTCTACTATTAGCAATGCATATTTTGTATAACAGGTTGTGAGATTTTTTTTTTCTTTTTGTGGTTTCCCAGTTTTTGTTTTTAAAGTATCTACTACACAAGTACATTTTAGTAGAACCATTGTACCATGCAAAACAAATTATAAGATTTTTTTAATTGACTGAATTAAATGCGTCCTTGAAGGAAAGTGTTGGTGCTACACTACTCATTGGTTTCACTTACTGAATACATTTTAAAAGAGTTAATACAATACAAAGGAAGTCTCACCTTCACACACATACACAAAACTTGTTAACATTCAGTTTCTAACCAAATGTTAATTAAGGGACTTATCAATATAATACCTTTCTTAGGCCTCAAAATGTGTTGTCAGAAAGCAAACGTTACAATAACAATAGTGACTAAGATATTTAATATAGTTAACACAAACTGAACTTCAATATGATTCTTTAAATACAATTTTAATCATTTAGAATGTTTCCCACGGCAAATATAACTTGTCTACACTAGAATACATAAACAATGACCCAGAATATGTTGCCCTGGAAAGTTCATATGAGTACATTTAACAGTCTATTATAAACAGTAAACAACTAACCACCCAATATTTGTAATACTAAGTTATATTCTTTAAATTACTTCATCACATTTTATTTCTCTTCAGAAAGTTAACTTTTCCATGTGCCTGGACAGTTCTGAGTTTTTTGAAATGTGGACTGCTATATTTCCACTGATAGTTTAAAACAGTTCTTGATTTTTGGTATTCAGAATAAGCACTGCAACAGCAGCGATGGTCCAAGATTTTGCTAATTTTGCTCTCAAAATATACTCCCCTCAAAGATATGACAGCTTGTGAGACCCTACTCCCAGGTGACCAGTGTATGATCCTCCCCTTCTGGGCTGATTACAGCTTCCTCTTTGTAACTGACTAGATCAATGATCAATCTTCATCAGCAACATACTCACGTAACCAGTAGTGGTTCACTAAAGCAGTGATTTTCAACTGGCTGAGAAACTCTGCCAACAATCAAGAGGAGTCACAGAGCCAGAGACTGTGGGAACCACCAAACTGGTTTCCAACAATTGAGAGAACGGCGTGATGTTGCACCCACCCACCCAGTCCTATGAGTTGTGGGAACTGACAAAGAAGGATACATCTTCCCTTCAGGAAATGTGTGCTCTTAAGTCGCCTTGCAAAAAACAGGGAGTCTCAGGTCCGTAGGGTCGTAGACAGAAAGTTCAAAAGTGGGGTTTCCTAGAAATACGTCCATCATTCCCAAAGATTATATCTGAGTCTTTTAATGGTAGGGCTCTTCATAATGAAAAAATTGAAAATACCCGCCTTTTAAAACTACCCAGAATTCTGAAGTTTTCCTTCTATTGCTAGGCAACAAAAAAAGAATCTAGATAAAACAACCAACCAAAATCTGTGAGAGGGAAATTTACAGTGATAAGCAGAGAAGAAAAAAGACCTGCTGCCTGAGCAAAAATTTCTGCTCTCCCAAGACTCATAAAGAAAAAGAAGCCAGAGAGCAATTGCTGAGCCATTTTACCATGTCACCTGTATAAGTATAACGTTGTTCTGCTTTAACTACAAGACCCCCAAATGAATTTAAAATCTAATTATTACCAAATCAGAATCTCATTTTATTCTGCTGATATACCATTTCCAGACTTCTGATCTATTTTTTAATCTTTTCTAAGCTAAAATTTGAGTGGTAGGAAAGCTTGTCTTTTTACTTTTATTATTATTTTTTTGCAGTACGCGGGCCTCTCACTGTTGTGGCCTCTCCCGCTGCGGAGCACAGGCTCCGGACACGCAGGCTCAGCGGCCACGGCTCATAGGCCTAGCCGCTCTGCGGCATGTGGGATCTTCCCGGACCAGGGCACGAATCCGTGTCCCCTGCATCGGCAGGTGGACGGACTCTCAACCACTGCGCCACCAGGGAAGCCCAAGCTTTTTTTTTTTTAAAATAAGCCTTTTCTTCAAATTTTCATTCAAATAAATTGGAAAAATCTGTTTTTCTACTGTTGAGCGGAAGGTATATACTCATAAACGTGGACATAAAACGACAGTGAAAGAGACATTTGAATGCTCCTAGATGGGGGCAGAAGCCCGAGCAGTTTAGGTGGAACTAGAAGCTGCAAGAACATAAGAAGACCTGTCCTTCCAAGCTTCCCAGCTCCAGAGAAAAGTCACCCACCGACCTTCTGACTAACCAGCTGGGTGCAGCTTCATCAGCAAACACCTTAAGGAAACATTTACACTTAAAATGTCAGGAAAAAAAAACTGTTTAACTTAAAATCTTGAAGTTCACTCTTATCTCACGAATCAGGTCATAGTCTTTGAATAATTTTCATTTTAAAGTGCTTAAACATAAAGGCCTCAAAAATGGCCTAGTAATACTATCACTTAAGTGTATATCTGTTACAAAATTATAATGTATTTAAAGTCTAACATTCAAGTTTAAAACAAATGGGTGAAATTCAGAATTAACGCTGAGACTTCACCCTTAATCAGCACTCTTACATCTTGGTACATCATGAGTCAGTAGTACTGTTTGATCCATAGGATTAAAGTGGGACACCCTAGATTAGAAGTATCTAGCTGAAGTGCCTCTATTCTCAAAGTTCTTATTTGTTCCTATTAAATTAGACCAAAAATAAGTAATAAATACAGTCCTCTGAGAAAGGAATGGCCCCATATTTATCTTAGTTATATATTAATCTGGATAAAATAAAAGTAAATGGCTGAAGCTAGCATAAAGTGCAGAAATTTCAAAACATACTTAAACAGGAAAGATAGATGATATCACAAGCCACTTTTAAAATAATATATTAGTAGTCATTGAAAAAAACTCAAACATACTCACTTAAAACTGAACATTCTCAATTATTTCAGTCATGAATTCCTAAAATTTTTAACCAGCATGTATATGAATTTAAAACAGATAAATTAGTAATTCATATACTCAAATTCATGAAACTGGAGATCTAATTATTACTCTCTTCTTTGTGAAGAATGTCTAATCAGGATATGTTCATCAAAGAAAGAAATCTGATCAGCAACATTTCTTGCTTTTCTTGACATCTCGACTCAAAAATTACTCAAAATGAGACTTGAGCTGATCCTGAGTTCTCTCTAATAAGAATACGTCTACTTTGCCATCAAGCTCATGAAATATTCTTCTAAATACTTCCATTTACCCAACAGATATTGTACAATTACTTGGGGCAAAGGTACAAGATAAAATTTGACCTTTTCCCTATACCTTTTAAACTAACTCCATTCGCATTATGGACTTCTTAACCTACTGGTAAATTTTATTCTTAAACCTTCCACTCATTTTTAGATCAAATACGGAACTCTTAATTTAATAAACTTCTTCTAGGCATTTTCCATACTGACTTTTATATGTCAACAGATAGTGATTTGTTTTTTTCCCTGAACACAATTTATAGAAATTCCCTGAATAACAAAAAGAAAACAATTTTGTTATATTCACTTGACAGCCAAAAAGAAAATGACTGCTGTGCTGCTGTAAGTGTATAAAGATACGTTATCATTCCATTCGCCTCTCTGGAATGTATATGGAAGACATCTGTACAGCAGATAAAGAAGTCAGCAGCCAGAGTTAGATACAGCAAGTAAATGTGTTCTGTAATAGGAATAGTTACGGATTTTTAAAGGCTCGGGAGTGAGCCACTCCCAAGAATTCAGTAAGTACAGTATATATACCTAACAACTCACAATTTACAAGTAATTTATAAAAACTCTGTAGCATTAAGTTAGTTTGCTAAAGAACTATGAATCTTCCAATTGTAAACTGATAAATTCCTGGATGCATTTCTTATACTGCATTTCAGTATGGTTATTAGTAGAATATTGACCTGGCTGTCCATAAAGTCCTTCTGATTCCCGCATCTCTTCATTCATTCTTGCTAAACGTAGCCTAAAATTAAATAAAAGAATTTTTTAGATAAGTTATACGATATAAATATTCATAAACTAATGAATTACATACGCAGCTAAGACATATTCATGTAATTTTTTCTTTTACCAGTATTTGCCACTGAAACAAAAGTACTTTTAGTTTATCAGGCCCAGCAATCTGAGATACAAAAATAACTGTATTTTATCTTATACAATTCTCATGAGAGGAGACAATAAAAGACTTCTAACAAGGGCATTTCACTTCGGTTTAAGCAGGTTCCTGGCAGCACCTCTAGCAGCTTACTTCCTCCAGACACAGAGAATTCCTGGCTCCTAAAGCAACCTGTCAAACTTTAACTGCCAACTGCTGAAATTATTGCTTCTATAGAATGGAAGCAATAGCCTGTCATAAGTTCATTCTGGTTCACCCTGAGGCACGGTAGTTCCAGATGTATAAATACCATGTGTTATCTACAAATACTCGGGATATATTCTGACCTACAGACATTATAATAAGTGACCATAGGTTACCAAGATTTTTGCATGGTTACCATATTGATTATACATTCTTTTTTGGGTTATTTATCCTGGCAGCAGGAAGACCTGTAGCACTGGATTAAGGAAACAAGAATTTCCTCTCATTTTCTTACTGACTTTAAGCAACATTTTGAAACAGGCAAATGTTACCTGTGGTGCCCCTCTCCTACTCTGTACTTCTTGCCTGTCCTCCAGGCCGCCAAATCCTCAACGCCTTCCCAGACTGCTGTCACCCTCTTCTAGCGTGCTCTCTCTGGCAGTTGCCGCATCTGACATGGGCTTTTCTTATCTTCAAAGCACCACAATTCCCTGCCATTTCCTTTCCAACCATTGTGTGAATTAATAATAGCAAGATAAGTCTCCCTTTTTGGTATTTGGACTTTTCACAGAGGATGCCTGTTTCAAAAAATTGTAAGTGAAACTGACGTCCTCATACAAAGTAAAATGAGAAAACTTAAGACAATTTGGGACCATATTTTGGGGGAAGAAGGCCCATTACTGTAAGAATTGCCTGGGAAGCTGCAGCCAGGGTTAATTTCTCTGTATATCACTCCTATCTTTTCTTTAATAACTTACCTTTCTCCAATTTTAAGTCTATAATGATTTAATAGATCTAAATTTTCCTACAATAGTCTCCATAATAACAATAACCCCTCCAGTGAGGAAAAGAAGCTAAGTACAGAGAAAAATACGTCTTGCTCTTTTGTTTTTTCGTTTTGTTTTAATCTGGCAGGGGTCAGGGAGGGGTGATATATGGCAAGTCAAGAATTCTCAGTGGGAGCTCAGGAGTTCAAGACAGTCAAGGGAGTTTCTATCTGTAGGTGACTAAAATTCAGTAGTGTAGATGGAACTATCTCTACTTATTTAACAGGGAATCAGCAATCCTGGGCTTCATTCAGAATAGACTGAATAAGCGATTCATACAACATATGCTTGAGACTCCCTACATAACAATAAAGTGTAGGTGACAACCACATTCCTAGATTCCAAGTGTAATGAACAACTCTGATCTAAGATGAAAATCAAATAAAGACCTCAAGATTCTCTCTTTAGTAGGTCATGTTAAATTGTATTCAAACATTCCAAAACAAATATTTTTACCTCAAAATAGAGGACTCATACGAATAATTCTTTAAAAAAATAAGTACAAACAGGTCCCCTAATTATCACTGCCCAAAGGAAATGCAGCTGCAAAAGTTACTAACATCAATGCAGTTGGCTTCCCTGCTTATAATCCTCTAATTCCTGAGGTAGTCGAAAAACTGCCTGTTACTATACCAATCCAACTCCCACCCCAGTACTGTACTGAGAGTTAAAGAATCAGAAAAGTTACTGATTTTCTGTTCCTACTGGCCAGGCAGTATAACAGAAGTGGCTAAGCACATGGGTTTTAGAGCCAGAATTCTTAGTTTCAAATCCCAGCCCTACCACTTACTAGCTTCTCAAATTACTTGTGGCTTGGCTTCCTTATAAAATGAGGCTGATAATAATAAAACCTTCCTCACAGGGTTGAGGTGGGAACCAAGTAAGTTCATGTATGTAAAGTGCTTCATACATTTAACGTGCTTAGAGAAGTAAATGGCTTCTAGTAAAGAACCAAGTTTAAATTTCATGCCTACACACGAAACTCTACGTTTAAACACTGTATTAAGTAATACGGTGTATGGAAAATAATCAAGTGAAAAGAAAACACTTACAAGGTCACTATATCAGCGTTGGCTGCTTCCACAGCTATACTCAAAGGGTCCTTCCCTTCTTCATCAGTGGCATGTTGATTGGCACCTCGTTTTAGGAATAAACATACCTGCCTGTTTAAGGGAACAGTGTTTATGAGATATTGCCGATAAGAAAAAAAATTAGTATTCACCTTAAGAAATAAAAAGCACTACTTAAAGAAATAACATTTTCATTAGGAAATTCTTGATTCATTCTACAAAGATTTATTGAATATTGACTCTAATAATAAAAATCTACCATGATCAACATTTTATAAATCTTATGAAATTTTCACATTTAACCTGATAATATACAGCATAGTGAGATGTGTAAATTATGGTCCCTACCCTCCAAGAATATCATAAAAAGATGTACACAGATAACTATAAATGAAAATAAAACAAAAATCACTCAAGGTCATTATCTGGGAAAGAAGAAAGCCAAGGCAACGTTAACATCATAATACATTAACGATAATACAACAGCAACGAGTGGGAAGTAATCTTGCCGCTGTATTCCACAAATATTCATAACTTGAAGAAACTGACAAAAAATGAAAAAAAAAATGAATAAATGGAGTCTATAAAGTAAAATGGGAATAATTATGATTATGAAGAAAATACAAAGGATGAGTTAAATACAACCATTTTTAAGTAAACTTTTTATGATAAAGTTATTGAACTGAATCTTCTTGCTAATAGAGGGAAACAAAATAAGCTATGATGAAAATAGAAGATGCTATAAAATAAACATTAAAAAAGGACAGTTTCTTGTTTGTCCAGGTAATAAGACTTGGAGATCCTGAGATGTTTTATTGAAAAACAATGACCTATGAAACAAACTTTACATAAGGCCAATATTTTGACTTTATTTGTACCCTCTAGTAGAAAGCCCATTTTTACGGCTTTATTGTTCTGTGAATCTAAATATTGCTCCAGAAGCCACACATCAATAGCACAAAATAAGAATTAACTACCTTGTGGGAAAACTAAAATTTACAAAGTTACAAAACTCTCCCAAAATGTATGTGCCATGTACATAATGTATGTACATGCATAAATATACACAAATACAGACTTAAGTTGTCTGATGAAATCACCACAGTTTTAAATACTAAAACAGATCTATATAAAGAATTAGTAAAGTTCAAAGTAAGCTTGGCAATTTTCTTATCTGAAAAGTAACCATATCTTTTTTCTGAATGAAATTTTTAAAAATTTTAAGTTCCAGCGTGAGAGTATAAGTCAAGGAAAGTATAACTTTATAAGCTCTAGCTAACACTCTTAACCTGAGAAAGAGCAAAACATTATTTCAAAATAATTTTTTCAAATAAAATCTACTTAAATATATAAGCACTAGTTTACCCCGTGTGCCCTAAGACAGTGGCATGGTGCAGTGGTCCCCGCCCTTGCACATCTCTCTGGTTCACATTAGCACCATTCTGAAGGAGAAACTCGCATGTCACCAAAGAGCCCTTAGAGGAAAAAAGAAGATAACAATGGAGAAAAAGCAAACAAACAACAATATATTTCTATTAACAGAGTATTTACTTTACTGTAATAGCCTTTCTATTGTATTTTCCCCAAAAGAGAAAATACCCCCCTGCAAAAAGCAGAAAAATGATAAATTATATTATTTTCTTCCCAAGAACTACTTCTAACTGGGATTCAATTTGCAGTTTGTGATCTAGCAAAACCCACTACTTTCATTACTAGAACTCCCTCATTAAGAAAAAAAATTGAGCTCACACACAAAGTGATGTTCAGAAATCACTACTAGCTGCTGCTTCTACTTTCTATCCCATCTCTTAAAGCAAACAATAGTGCCAAAGCTATGCTCAAAACGAATTATGATTTTTTTATGCTCTACGACCACTGAAGACCTGAATTTACAAATTCATACCCCTAATACAGCCTGAATAAGTGGTGTTGCTTTGTTTTCCTCAGAATTAGCCCAGTTCACATCTGCGCCATGAGCCAAAGCTTCAGCCATTTTAGGAAGATTTTTTTCATACGAAGCCCTATAAAGCTGGAGTCCTGGATTAAGATGTTGAGAGTCGAGAAACACAGAAGAATCCTGCCTTTCTGTCTCTGAAAAGCAAACACAAATACATCAATAAAAATAAGCTCTTGGCAAGGAGGGAGGGAAAGAATGGGGAGTCATTGCTTCATAGGTACAGAATTTCAGTTCTGTAAGATGAAAAGAGTTCTGTGGATGGATGGTGCTGATGGCAGCACAACAGTGTGAATAGATTTAATGCCACTGAACTGTACACTTGAAAACTGTTAAGATGGTAAATTTTACGTTATGTGTATCTTACCACGGCTTTTAAAAAAAGCGAACTCTTACCTGTATCACAGTATGAAAGTTGTGACATAAGAAACCACTAGTTTAACAAAATGAGCTAATGGGAGATGTTCACAAAGGAATCTTATTTCCTGTAGACTTATCACTCTCCACAACCTTCTTCTCTTATAAATACATCGACTAGTACACCAGGCCTTTATGGTCTTGCCAGTATCCAATGGATAGGTAAATTACTCTGTATCAGATTAAAATTAGGTATATATGAGTATAAGCCTGGACTTAGAGACTTAGAAGAGGCAGTAAGAACCCCGAAAGGATTTCACTACTAGACCAAACCTCACTTTATTCCTAGAATGGTCCAATACCATCATCACAATTTGCAGTACAAGCAATTCAAATAATTTAAAGAATGCTTACTATCCTGAGTATTCTGCAAGATCATAACCACTGAAATCATAAGGGAGAGAATACAGGAGGAAAGCACAGGTCAGAAGAAAAACCTAACTTGAGGGGGGATGGGGGGGATTTGCTGATCTCTTTCTCCTGATAAGAAAAGACAGCCACAAAAAAAAGATAACGGGTAGTAAGAAATACCGTTCACGTGGATTAAAAATTATCCTTAGCTATTGACACATATCTTGAGGCTCAGAAAAATGTACAGCTAAGAGAGAACTTCCAAATATGAAAATAGCTGCTTTCTCATTCAGCAGTATTAACTGCCCCTTAGTACCTTCTAAAAGACTAACCACTTCCTTCAGAAACTATTTAATCAAACTTGGCATTTTCCACATGCATTTTTCAGCAAACAATACCAATTAACATGGAATTTCACCAAAACTCACCCGGCTCATATAAACTATTGGCTGACACTGTGGAAGGTAAAGATTCTCTTCCATCATCAGAGCTCTGCTGGATTCCACTGTCATTACTTTTGACTGTTTTAAAGAAAAACCGGCTAGTGATTAAAGTTTGCACCATTAAGAAAAAAAGTCCCACAATCAATGAGGTTTTAAAATGAGCTCTGATACATCAACGTGATCTCAGCCACCACCAGTAGAATAAATTTACGACAATTTTAATCCTTTGGAACACTTCACGTATCAAAATATGAATCAGTCATGAAGCCTGGCAATAAACTTACTTTCAGAGTCGCAACATATCTCATTACCCCGTAATGTGTCAGGGGTAGTAAAGGGTTAATTTATCATATGACTGTAAGTAATGTGTAATTCTGAGACAATGGGTAACATCTAGAGAAATGGCCACACCGCACAATGACCACGGGCACAGACTTGGAATGCTCCACAAGAGTAGTACTTACTACTACGTAGTTTTGAAGAAGTATCAAAGTAGGAGAAGAGTGAATCTAGCTCATCAGGACAGAACAGAGACTCCCTCCTGGCCTCGTCGCTATTTACAGCAATCACTGGGGACATGCAAGTTAGCAAAGCACAAAGCAGGCCATAAGAAGGGAAAAGGGCAGGAAAAAACGTTACTGGGAAAAATTTAGGAGGAAAAAACAGGAAGGCTATTAGGTGGTTAATCAGATATTTAGGGCTTTTTGCATGACAGATTTGCAATTCCCATCTCCCCTTTCATTTTAAGCAGTTTTATTCCTTAAGAATATACACATTATGGTTGAACCTTGAACAACACAGGTTTGAACTACGTGGGTCCACCTATACTCAGATTTTTTCAATACTAAATACTACAGTACCACATAATCTGGGATTGGTGGCATCCACGGATGCAGAACCAATGATACAGAGGAACTGCAGAGCAGACATGGAGGAAACGCATACATGGAGGGCCAACTACAAATTATATGAGAAGTTTCAACTGATCGGAGAGTCAGTGCCCCAACCCCCGAGTTGTTCAAGGGTCAAGTGTACCTAGAAATGTGAATTATCAGAACACTACTTAAATTTAACTGTTTTAAAGACAGAGAAATCCAATTTTTCTGTAGGATATACAGAAGGAAACAGTTTTTAGCATTTAAAAAATCTACAACAGCTACTAATTCAGAGATTAAGAAAGTGACTTCAGCTTAAGAAAATATTTATATAGATAACAAGTAAACCGTAATACCTGAACTTTGGGGAGATGCTCTAACTTGTTCACTTGGCCCAAGTTTAGAAATGCTCAGCCTCTTTTCTTCACAACTTTTGGAGACAATCTGTTTTTCCTGCTCAGGAGGTGATGATGATATAGAATATTTATCCACAAATTTTCTCTCCACATATTTTGCTCTGATATACGCCTCCTTCTCCTGTCTGGTTGGTATACATAAAAATGTCATGATGTTCTGCTTAATCTCTTAGCATGGCTAATACTGAAAAGAAGCCATTACATACTGAATTTTTCAAAGAAAGTCACTAAATGTCATACTAGTTAAAACTGAATTTGCAACATTCTACAACATGTTTTCCTTCCCAATATTTAATGAACTATGATTTCATGTTTAAATGAAAAACAAACAATAAAATGAAAAATCACAAGTATTAACATGGCACTCTCTTATTGTCTTAATTTCTATGCTCATTCATTCCCATACATATTCTCTTTTGCTTTTTACAGAATGAAAAACATTACCAAGAAACTATTAAAATTTACAGAAGTTAACTTTAATTCCAGTTTTACTCCGATAAATAATGTCACATACTGAACTATCACTAGTCATGACCATAATTCTTCGTAAGACAACTACTTCAAAACAACATAGCATTTCTAACTTAAGGGGGACCAAAAAAGGTATCACATTTAAAATTTTTGATTTATGATACAACTATAAAACACCAAGTTTGTTCTATACCTTTTCTTACTTACATCTTTCTAAAATGCCTAGGTCTTTGGCTAAAATAGGATATCTCAAGGTCTGAAATAACTCAAACAGACATGCTTTAGCAAAAAAAATAAGAATCTGATTTAAGTGGTATTGGTTTAGAGGGCAATAACTTTTAAAAAGTATTAATTATCATAAAAATATAATCAAACATAGGATTATGGCAAATAAAATTTTAATACCTAATATAAAGAATCATAAAGTCTAAAAATAACATGAACAACAAAACTAATTATCTACCTTGAAGGCGGCCACTTCGTTCAGAGTCTCCATATATAGAATTGGAAGTAAAATTTCAAACAGAGTAATTAAGTAAGTACTCTCCCCTACCAGAAGCTACCCTTTTCATCTGTAATTCTTCAATATAATAATGCCATGTATGAAATACATAATTAACAAATATTTGCAGAACGAAGTCAAACAATGTGATACTATTCATTGTAGGTAGTAGAAACTTGATCCTTGGAGACATTAATGAACAGATTAACTCTTTTTAAAGGCCTGCCACTAACAGAACTTTGTCTCCTTTAACTGCTAAGAGTTTTTATATTCCTATGTAGAGCCTTTTTTTTTTTTAATTAATTTATTTTTAATTTATTTATTTCTGGCTACTTTGGGTCTTTGTTGCTGTGCGTGGACTTTCTCTAGTTGTGGCGAGCGGGGGCTACTCTTCAATGCAGTGTGCGGGCTTCTCATTGTGGTGGCTTCTCTTGTGGAGCACGGGCTCTAGGCGTGCAGGCTTCAGTAGTTGTGGCATGCAGGTTCACTAGTTGTGGCCCACGGGCTTAGTTGCTCCGCGGCATGTGGGATCTTCCTGGGCCAGGGCTCGAACCTGTGTCCCCTGCATTGGCAAGCGGATTCTTAACCACTGCGCCACCAGGGAAGCCCCGGAGCCTTAATTTTTAAGATTCTCTCTCATCTGGAGACTATAATTTATTATCTGACTAGTAAAATATAATTATCTAATTAACAAACCCAAGAGAGACACAGCCACATTTTAACAGAAGCAGTAATGATCTCTTCTGAACAGTCTGCTTCAATAATACATATCAATTAAAGTGAAATAAAATAACAGCTATATTCAAGATGGTGGGGGGGGGAATGAGGTAACACATTAACACAACAGTACCTTTGTCCTGGTTGCGGTTTCTTTATTCCCATTTTTTCCACATTAGCTTCATAAACTCTATTCATAACATCATTCCCCAACTCACACATAAGCTGTTTGGCAGAAAGACAGAAAATAAGCAATAATTTCCTAAAAAACACTGTATAAATCCTTAAGCAAACAGAGCTACTTAGTTCTTTTTGCATGTTCTGCAAATGCTCATTTCACAAAGATGCTTAAATTTAAAACAAAAGGAGACAAGGACTGAGAGCAATATCACCATTTTGCCATTCTTCACCAGAATACCTCCCCTAGAAGATTACTACTCCTCAAGAAAGCGTTTCTCCTCACCCATCTTCTACCAGATTTCTATCCCTTACTGTGGCTAGCACAAGGCTACACATTCACAACATCTGCTAAGTTAACTGAAAAAAGAAGCCTAAGTCCAGACACGGTAAGGTTTAAACAACTCAGAATTGAAGCAAACTATTTTCTCCTTACACTTTATTTATAAATATTTCTAAATATTTTTTTAAGTCTCAATATTTTTTAAATGTATCAGACAATTGTGTTTCAACCAAAGCTTCTAAACTGAATCCACTGAGTTCATATCTACACGCAAAGTTGATGCAGAAATTAGATTGCTAGCCCCCACCCCCCACTTTCTTCTCCTTTGAATTCATAACAATTTATGGAATCTATCGAAATAGGGCTCTACCACAGGAGCCAACTTAATCACTTTCATTTAGACGTTTCCACAGTGATTCCACAAAGAAAACTTTTTACTTTACTTAATTGACAGGATTATTGGTTTATTTATGGATTGAAATAAAAACACAAGCACATTAAGAACACAATTTTCAGACAGAAATAAATGTAGGATACACTACAACCTTTAAACAAATGTATATTTTTTACAGTATGGTAAACTAAATGGTGGGAATTAAAATGGGTATACTATTAACCAGTATAAATTTTGTAAATATTAAAAACCCAGTTGTGATATAAAATCATTTATGACATTTTCATAGATATGAATCCTTACACAGGAAAAAGGATGTCTTAGTCTGATGTCTACTACCCCTTAAAAATGTAAATTTGCAAATGTGTTATGCTAAAATATGCAATGATAATGACATGCTATACCAATCCATCACGCAGCTCACTATAGCAATATCTAATATTTTTAACAAGAATTTATGTAATTATAAAATATAAAATTAAGGCACAGAATCTAAGATAATTTGTGAGAAAACATAAAAATGCAGGGTGCTGGTTTCCTTAAAAAGTGAACTGACAGGGCTTCCCTGGTGGCGCAGTGGTTAAGAGTCCGCCTGCCGATGCAGGGGACACAGGTTCTTGCCCCGGTCCGGGAGGATCCCACATGCCATGGAGCGGCTGGGTCCATGAGCCATGGCCGCTGAGCCTGCGTGTCCAGAGCCTGTGCTCCGCAATGGGAGAGGGCTACAACAGTGAAAGGCCCGCGTACCACAAAAAAAAAAAAAAGTGAACTGACATGGAGTTAAGAGTGCTACATAATAAGCTTAGCAATTTAAAAAACCAATAACAAAACATCAGATTTGCCAAAATAACATCAGATATGTTCCAATACAATTTAATTCACTGTTAGCACTGAGAAACTCACACATTTGTAAAACCAGATTCTAAAATCTTGACTTTGGGGGATTCCCTGGCAGTCCAGTGGTTAGATCTCTGCCTTTCCACTGCAGGGGGCATGGGTTCAATCCCTGGTAGGGGAACTAAGATCCTGCACAGCTATGTGGCAAAAAAATAAATAAATAAATAAAATCTTGACTTTTATGTGAAAACATAAAATATTTTTAAGCAAATATTCATTTTACCTTTAAAAGTTCAGGCTCCCAGGTGTCTAAAGTTAAAGATCGTACTTTTGAAAAGTGAACTCCAAGACTCCTAAGTGGGGAAAAAAAAAAGACTGCATTAATATATAAAACTTTCAAGTCTCTATTTGCACATTATGCAAGTTATTTTTCTCTCTTAATGTGACATAGTCTCTAATATAGGCCTCAACACATACATAAATAGGGATAGATCTTCTAGTTAATAATGAATGGTGAATCAAAGTCCTCAAAAGTACTTCACAAACCAGAATTTTATCCACTTCATAAAAGATACCAAAACACACTGGCAGTCAAACTAGGCAAGTGGGAAAGGTCCTCTAACCAATGAGACACAGTAATTTACAATATGTGTTTAACTGAAAGAAGTCTCTCATCCTGGGCAGGCCTACCCACCGGTGAATCCCAGAACACTCGATACACAGGGTGATGCCCAGGTTGATGCTGGCCCACCGTGGGTCTGCCAGACCACAGTCACAACAGCTGGCATTGCCAGGAATACACTGGACTCGCTGCAATGCACTTTCTCCTTTCAATAATTTATCTTTTGACTCATTTCCAGAATCCAGGCTTCCCGTGGATGGAGATGATTTCTTATCCAGCTTCTAAAAGAATTAAGAATTATTAAAAAAAAAAAAAAAAAAAAAAAGGATTGTAATACTACGTTGCACACTGCATGCTCCAAACAAATGCTTCTAATCAACAAATTGAAGGCCTATTACGGGCCTAAGCCAGGCACTGTTCTAAGCACCGGGGATTCAAGGATGAAAAGATATAGTTTCCGCCATCAATTGGCCTTTAGTCTTGTGGGGAGAAACACATTAATATTGAAAAATAACCCGACACAATGAATGTATGTACAAGATAAAATGGCAAAGAGAAAGGGGAACAGTAAATTAACACGCAGGATGAGACACAGAGAGAGTACACGTGAGACTATAAAGACTCAAGAATAAAATAAATACTATTTTATACCAAGTTTTTCCAAGGTATTCAATGAACTGCAAGCAAGTTGTTTCAATTACTGCAGCGAATTACTGCAAATGATATGGCCTTTTACTAATGAGGAGATCAATTGCATAATTATAATTACGAGTGAATCAACAACAGAATGCACGATGTCTAAAATCTCAGGCGAAAGGAGGAGAAAAGCAAAGGTGGTAGATAAGCAAAAAGCTAATTTTTTAAGTGAACAACAAAGTCTATACCAATAACGACCAAATACAAACATGTAGTTTGGGGATCCTAAGCAATTAAAGATATGACCTAAAAAGTCTTCTGGTTTAAAAACATTTCAACAAGCCAGTATTTTAGTATAAGATCAACAGAAATATAATTTGGCCCTTGTCTTGCCCTTCTTGAAAACTCAGCTCAATAGCCGTTAGGTGGGGCTAAGCAAAGAAAGTGTGGGGATACAGTATGCCAGAGAGGACTCAGCTGGGTGAGGAGCATACCCTCAAATGAGAGTGACCCTGTGCAGGTTGCTGTTCCCAAGCAGCAGAAGGAGGGTATTTGCATAGGGAGACAGCCCAACAAAGGAAATGAGAGCCTGAGGATAGAGAGGAACTACAAAGTGGGAGTGCCACCTAGTGAGAGATGTTAGAGCCTGGCAGGTGGGAAATGGCAGCAGGGAAGGGATATTGGTCACATACAGGGGAACTGATTATGTAACTAAACCTGCTAAAAATAAGTGGGAGCCAGATTTCTCACTGCAGAGAAAGGGCTCATTTATATAAAAAGGGAGAGAGGTAGAACAAACCCTGTTATATTAAATTAGGACTGGAGATACCAACAGGTGCCCTAATGGTTTCAATACAAATAGATACATAAAGTTATACAGATGTAAATGTGTATATGTGTATATATACATGTATATTCCCTTATCTTGGTTTCTACAAACTATTCTCCACGAAAAAGAACTAGGGCAGTTTGCAGAAACTACTGATTTCAAGGCTAGTACAGAGAAACTACAAGAAGATGAACTCGGAACATCTCATCATGTTAGAAAGTAGAGAACAACTCAAAGATTGTTGGGAACATATCAAAAGGATACAGAATCCAGGGCTCCACTGGATTGGCCAAACTTGGGTCAATTTGAGAAACAAAACAAATAATGATAGTAATGAATTATAATACATTGAATAAAATAGAGGCCTATATTGATATAATTATATTTTAAAATTTAAAGCCTGATGAGGAACAGAATATCTACATAGTCTCAAAGTACCCCCCCACACACACACAAAATACTATTACAAAGATAACATTACAGTAGAGAAGTCTAGCAGACACTACCTTACTCAAGTGATCAAAGTTAACATCACCAATAACGGGACAAATCAAAATCTTGTGCCACCTGAAAGGATGCAGTGAGAAGAACACAGCATCATTTATACAACATTCCTACAAAAGGTGCATAACCTTGTGAGTAAACAAACCAACAATGAGGGACATTCTACAGAAATCTGTAATCTTGAATACAACCAAGGTCAAGAAGGTCAAAGTAAGACTGAGGGACTATTCCTAACTGAATGAAACTGAAGAGTCATGACAACTAAAAGAGACCTGTGCTTCTGAACTGCATCTTTTTGCTGTAAAGAACATTACTGGGACAACTGTTAAAACAATGATATTTGAGAATTAAATGGAAGTAATGCATCAATGCTCATTTCCTGATTTTGATGACTGTACTATGCTTATACAGGAGAAATGTCCTAATTGTGGGAATTACTCACTAAATTAATAATGGGTGATGGGGCATATGTTAGCAGCTTACTCTGAAACAGTTCAGGGGAAAAAACTGTTTGTATTGTACTTGGAACTTCTCTATAAATTTGAGATTACTTTAAAATTTTTTAAAAAAAGAAATAAAATCTGCTTTACTAAAACATGTTTGATAATGTGAATTAGCTCATAAGCAATTATCATATAGAGAAAGGATGTCAATATAATGCAGAAATCATGTTGGTTCAGTCCCAATTTTTTCTTTATTAGCTAATGCTTTTGGCTGAAAGCAAAGTACACTAACACAGCAGAACCTGGGCTGGCCACCTCAAGGAACACAGGACTGAAAAGGACACCCATCTCCCCATTCTTCTTGGCTCATTTTGGCCATGTGCTATGACTTGAAAGTGTTTACTGCACCATTCTCTCTGATCTTTATGTATTTTGTATATATTACCAAAGCCTCAACCCTTCTGTGCCCTTCCTTTAAGCTATCCTCACCAATTTTTAAAGTTAAGTCCTATCTGTATTCTATATTATAGTGTTCATTTATTAGGAATTTAACTAGGCTAATATTGGGTTGGCCAAAAAGCTCATGCGGTAGTGAATAAGTTGTTCCATAAAGTTCTTCATGAAAAATGTGTCTTTTATCTTGAAACCAAACTTTTTGGCCAAGCCAATATTTTTACTGAGATTCTAAAGTTCCAAAAATTATTCAAGTTACAAACTTACACGGTTTTTTAGGTTGGCCCTATCCCTATTTTTCCTGTAATCCCTGCTATTTCTGGTGTATGATTTTGCTAACATAGGTATTTCAGCAACACCACTAGCTCCTTCATCAAGATGATCTGGATACACACCTAAATTTGTTCCCTCTCCAAACTCCACTAAAAACTAGAGAATTTTTTTAAAGGCAATTACCCAGAGCCCTTAATGGACAAAGTTGTGATAATCTGAATATGAAAAAAGAGTAATTACCGCAATTAATTGGGACCCACTGTATTTACCAAAAATCCATGAGTGTATAATGATATCCCAAAAAACATGTATCTGTCCCCACTTAAGGTAGCTAATAAATCAACCAAATGTGGTAATTAAAAGCAAAAAATTAAGCATTTTATTAAACTAGCTAAATAGCTCCGTTGATGAAGAAAGCCTGTATTTCACACAGGAATGCAGACGGGAATGACAGAATTAGAAAATCATCATTTTGCAATTCCTAATGAAATTACAAATTCAGTTATAAAACTATTAGATGAATGGTTGATGGAGCATAGATCTTAAAGGGTCAAAGTAACACAAGGTAGATTTTGTTACACAAAATAACAAAGTAGGCTGGGAACAAAAAAGGAAATGTAACATGACAATGGAGGGATCATACTGTCATCTCCCTAATCCAATGTGTCTGTTTCATGTTCACACAGAACATTTTCACATTAACAGTGGCTGGATAACAATATTGTATGTCTCTTGTTGCTGCATGAAGTATACACATTATCTACGCTGGAATCTATGAGAAGGAATTCTATAGGAACAAATAGCCTAACCTTTTCAGCACATCATTGTTATGAAAAAAAAGAACTGTTCTAGATGGAAAGACAAGGAACATAAGACCAGATGCAATGCCCAGTCATAGAAGAGATCCTACTTTGTAAAACAGGTTGTAAAAGACATTTTTAGGACAACTGAAGACACATGAATATAGACTGGGTTACAGACGATATTAAGAAATTACTATTAAGTGTGGAATGACATGATATCTGTAATCTACTTTTAAAAACTTAAGCTTTTTTATTTTAAAAAGTTAAGACATTTATCCACAAGAATAGGGAGAACAGGAAAGAAAATAAGAGCAACAAAACTTGGGGAGCTGAAGAGTGGCTGGATGAATGGTAACTGAGTAGACCAAGGTAAAATCTAAGGAAAGAATAAGAAAAATCTAAGAGTCCATCAATTTATATCACATAATATTCAAACGACTCAAGGATTTATACCAGTTATCTCGGAAGTGGGGATGAAAGTAGGAGGACTGATTGTTTAAGAAGCAGTTAGATCGAAGGTGCCCTCCCCAACACTGCCATTAGTGGACTGCTCTCTACAAAGACACACAAATGACTAGAGGTTTATTCTCTGGGAAAGTAAAACAGAAAGTGACTGGATGGGGTTTACCTAAAAGGTGGAAGGCAGAGGATTAAATTAATGTATACACACCGAATGCTGCGATCCCCAGCAATTAGCTCCAAGCCAGGCCCTTATCCCTATGCAGGAGATTGGTTGAGTCTTCTCTGGGGAATCTTAGCTGAAAAGACTCCAAAGACCCTAACTATGGTTGTTCCTCAACAAATGGTCCACACTTTGCTGAAGCTCACAGTCAACGAAGTCCTAACTGTGTTCTCAGAGCTTCCGAAGAGGTTAGTCCTTATCTTGCAACCATGAGCAGATTACCAGAAAGCCAAGGAAAGCCCCTAATAAAATGGTTCTCAACATTGTCTATACACAGAAAACATTTAGAAAGCTTTTAAAAATATTGATGCCTGGGTCCCAACTCCATTCAATTGTTCTGGGGTGGGACCTAAGCACTGGGATTTTTTAAAGCTTCTTGTGTTATCCTAATGTGTAGTCAAGATTAAGAACCACAACTCTAACACTGCATATCTGAAAAAAGAACAGGTTTATATGTACAAACGTTCAGCAAACAAAAAGGATCTCTTGGAAATTAAATATGTGCTAGCAGAACTGAAATATTCAATAGAAGGTTTGGAAGACTAACTGATAAAATCTCCCAGAATGCAGAACAAAAAACACAAAAAATAAGAAAATCATAAGACCAGTCCAGAAATTCCAGAAAAAGAAAACAAAGAAATTGGAGAGGAGGAGGAATACTAAAGACTGGTAACAAGAAAGACTCCAACAACAACTCTGGAAACAAGAAAAACACTGCCATTAAAATTTTTAAGAATAATCATTTCCAGCCCAAAAATTCCAAACTCAACCAAACTATCAAACAAATGTGAGGATAGAATACAGACATTTTCAGACATGTACAGATTCACAAATGTCACATTTTCAGGAAGCTAGTGGGGGGAAGTGGTGAGTTCCATTTCTTAAGACTCACTCATGGCCTTGCTCAAAGGAGTTTGTAAACTCACTGGGTAGCTAAAGCCAGACTACAACCCAAGACTCTATATTTAGTTTATCTTCTCCAAGGAGATTTCCACTAAAATATGAGCTTTCCTTTTTTGCTTTTCACCCAGATTTAATTTTAAATACCTTTCACATTCACTGTTTTATTAGAATAATAAAATATTTGGGGAAAAATACTTGCATCAGAATACCTGGGACACATATTGAAATAATGGATTAAACATAAATATATATATTAAATATATATTAAACATATATATAAAATGATAAGTAAAGAGAAATAAGCAAGAGAACTGAATCTACAATTTAGAAATAAAACCCATTTCAATTACAAAAAAAATTATCCTCAATAAAAAAGAAAGTTTTAATAATCATGCAATGTTGCGACTAAAATTAGAAACTTTGTTAATGTATCACTTGGTATTACAATATTGTTTACTAACCTCCGATTCATCACCCTTCTCTCTATAAGCAGTAGCAATACTGGTCTGAACAGCCTTAATCCATGCCTGGCGCAGCTTTTCAGAATCTGCCTGAAGCATACAACTTCTAAAAGGAAATAACATTGTTTTCTCAGATACTAAATTAAACCAAAAAATAAGAAGGTTTACTTTTTTGTCCACTTTGTTATTTAATAATTTTCTAACAAAAACTAATTTCTGTTGAAAGGTTTTATTTCACCTATCTTTACGACAGGGTATGTTCATAAAGAAATCAAGGAACCAATGAAATAAATTACCTACTGAAAACAAATCACCCATTCCTGTATATTAAAAAAAAAAAACAACTTTAAATTTGCCACATAAAATAACATTAATTTTTTCCATTGGGTAGATATATGAAATAATAGTTATCAAAGAAATTTATCTGATATATGACTTCAGTTCATTACCATGACAGTTAATATGTTTTCACATGGCCACATCAATCATCTTTATAGAATTTAAAGAATACGATACTGGGTAGAAGTTACATAAATATCTGACTTAATATGTGTAATCATTAATTATTAAAATTTACTTTTAGTGCACTTTTTTCCTCTTTAGCTCATATAATCACAACTGCAACACAGATCTCTCTGTATTCTGGAAAATTCTTTAAGACAAGCTATGGAAACATAAAAGCAACTCTCAAATTCTTTAGAACCACTCACTTTGTTGGAGAGACCACCTCAAAGCAGAATCGTCGTTCTATGTCCTCACAATGTTTCACTGTACAGAGCCTTAGATCTTCTACCACCACAGTGGGATTATCCTACAATAAGGAAACAAAACTCCTATATTTATCAACCTAGGTTTTAAATACCGACTACCAATAAAAACATACTTAAAAACAGTACTTGGAATAAATGGTCTAATTTTAAAGGTTTATATTTTATCTTATTTTAGATTAGAAATAGGAGTTATCAACATAGATGTAACTAATAAAGGTAATTCTGCCCTGTTAATAATTTTATCTGCCTCATAAAACTGCTGTATAAGAATTAAATGAAATAGTTTATATAAACTTAGTCCAACACTTGGTAGTTAATTAGCAAGTGCTCAATAAATGTTAGCTTTCTGTTCATTTTCTTCTATTTTCTTTCATATCGATTTCTCTCCTGATCCTTACTCACATATAATAAAAGCTACTTTCCTCCAAAACAAGAAGCCTTTCATGAGTCAAGTTTAAATAACTGAAAGAAAAATAAGAAGCCTATACATGCTTCTTAAAATACCTAAGAAAATGAGAAATTTTAAATCATTTTTTAGTACTTAATAAAAAAATAAACTCAAAACCAAGCTTATCAGAGTAGAAATAACCATGGACTAATTAGTTAGAATAAAGGACTTCTATGGAATAAACCTGCTACCATAGAATAGCAAGTAAAATTTCACATTGTGTCATCTCAAGAGTAAAGTGGATATTTGAAATTTACAGGTGAATACATCATTCATAAAGACTAACTAGGTAAAAATCAAGTCATCAATTAACTAATAGTTCTTTTTCTCTAATTATCTTTAACATTCTCAAGTCACATATAATCTCATTATGCCTTTCCATTAAATAAAAATACCTCACTCTTAAAATCAGGTTCAGGAAAACAAACATGTAAAAACAATGTTAACAAATTTAAAAGTTTCTATTTAAATTAATTCAAGCTTACACTTTAATGTAATTATTAACCTTTCTCCATTACCACTTTTGGCCCTAAGGTGATATTTCTTAAAAGGCACCCTTTCCTTCAGCATCAAAACAGTACTAGGGAATTCCTGTCTCACAGCTGGACAAAGAAACATGTGAAGGAATAAAAGTAATAATCCTGGGACACAGAAAAATCCATCTCAAAGCTAGGAACTAAGAATTCAGGACACAATGTTGACACTTTCACCTTCTGAGTCCTCTTATACATACACAAACATAAAACTAATGAGCAGTAATCTTGCACACATGCATATTTATGGACTTCAATGCTTTACCAAAAGGAACAGTTAAAAAACTTAAACTGGGGACTCAATGGGTTTTCACTAATTAACAAAACACCTACCTTAAACTTTTTCTGGTAAACCAACTGATTATTCTGTATTGAAAACCAGCGTCTAAATAAATACAAAATAGATTACGTTTTCACAAACATAATTTATTTCAGTTGTTGTTAGAAAAGAAATATTGGGGAAAGCACTAGAAAATCAGTTTATGGTAATTATGTTTTTAGAAGTGCATTGTTTTGTTTTGCTTTATATAAACTGATGTCAATGAGATAGATAACTACTGAAAGTAAAAAAACAATTTCAGGCAATTTTAAAACCACAGATTAGGAAAATAAAATTACTATATTTTGATTCATTTTTATGTCAGAAATTTATATCCTAACAAAAGTTGTCATCCTTTATGTCATTACCAAATAATAATTGTTTTAAAATAAAAATTTAGCTTTTTGAGCTTCCTCAAAAATAACTAAATCTTTCCCCCAAAATAATTTGCTTTTGTTATAAAGTAGAAATAAAATTATATTATAAATAAGACTTCATTTGTATACAATAAAAGACTGAAATAAATGGTGCTTTGTTTTCAACCTTTCTGAAGCTAATTCAGCATTTGATTTGTTAAGCAAAACAGAAAATTGTATCATCCTTTTAGAACTGACATCACAGGAGGATAGGTGCCAATTCACTTGGGCTTACTTTCATGTAAAATACTTCTAAGCAGAATAATCAAAGTTATGACTAAAAATGAGTCACCCAACTATTGTTCTGCTCGTTACTATACATTAATTGGCAAACACTTTACTTGCAATCTTCTTTAGAAGAAAAAACTAAGCTACGTATGGCATATTTACTAATTCTAATTCATTAAAACAGTAAAAGGACCTAAAGACTTACAAAAAAAAAAATCACAGCCAAAAGCCATTCATAAAAGGAAGCAAAAACTCTCATCAAGCATGAAAGGTAAAACAGTATTTGAGTCATTATTTTAAAATTAGTTTCATGTGAGATGATTTCTATCATAAACATTAGTTATTAATCTATCAGCAGATAGAGATTCTACCTTTTCATTGATACTAATACAAAGCACTAAAAATTGTATTTAGACATATTTAGAATTTCTATTTTAAAAAATTAAGTTAATTCTCCAAAGCTGAGAAAATGATTAGATGCTTTTCTATTTTTAAGCTAGACAGATTGTTAGGTTTTCTTGCTATTTAAAAAGGTATCACTGTTACCATTAAAATAGAGACTGTTAAATAAGCATCTAGATAAAACCAAGTGGGTTGCCTCTAAATGCAAATCATCAAGAGGTGAGCTAGAAAAGGAAGAACTTCTGGGTCTCTTTGCTTTGGAACACATGGTTGGTTAGAAATGTTAAAGGAAATACCTCCAAACAAACAAAATGGTGCAGCCCTGCCACATGGGATGACATGCAATGGAAACAATCTCTGATATTGATTAAAGTGTTTTTAAAAAAAATCATTTGAAGTAGCGTAAACCATATTAATAAAAATTCTTATATTTTACATATAGTAATCATATTATATAATTTGATGAAAAACTACAATGAATTTTATTGCACAATGGAAAAACATCCATGTAAACTTTTCATGCTTCTGAGGTCTTCAAAAAATAAATTTCTTTTGACCTGCTGAATCTTAGAATAGCCTCTAAACATAAATAACAAAATACTAGATAAAAACTTAATTTTTTTTCTTAGAGACAATTTCCTCTGATTATTAACTTTATAGATCATTTGTATTTCTGAAACTCAGCTCCCCTACCATCTATCTGCTTCTGGGTAACTTTCTCACATCATTAGTTTTTGTATACACTATAAATTCATCTTAATTTGACATCTCCTAAGGAAAAACAATCCCACAATATATCCTAGGTAGAAAAATATTTTAATTACTAAGATCAGTATGTCTTATGATACTATCTCCCCTCCTCTGCCATTAAAAAAAGAAAAAAGAGCTAACTTTACTCATTTACACTGACGAAGACCTTAATCAGGTAAGTAAAATAAAATATAATTTTAAATTGCTCCTGTAGGATAATCCTAGTTATTATTAACAATTTTAATAAAAGGAAAAATGAGACAGTTCATAGTCTATGCGATATGCAAAAATATTTAATATTTTTCAAGTTCATGCTACCTGCAATTTAAAGATTCTTTAAAAGGTAATTAAATAATAAAAAAGACAAATGTTGGAAAGCATTGTGCTGACAACTACACTATATTCTGCAAGATTCACAAACTGACCACAAAGCCAAAATATAAAAGTTTTTAAAAAGGAAAATTTCTTGGTTTTAAGAAAACTAAGACACCACTTTATATCTATCTCAAACTGAGATAACATAATAAAGATTTTAGACCAAAATATTACATTCATAAACAAATATTATTAATTTTTAAATACCAATGAGAGCCATAGGATGACAGAATTTTGGTGGGGAGGGAATACATTAAAAAAGAAATCAAGTATCTTTTACAATTTTTGAGCACTAGTCCCGGAACTCAAAATCAAGAACATGGGTAAAAGTCAGACTTCTAAATCTGTAGAAGCTTTATCACTAAAACTATACAGATGATGGATTCATGCACACATTTGGCACATAGGTGCCAAAAAGGTGAACATTTAACAAAATTAAAAGCTTGAACATGTACATGTTCCTTTATCTAAAATTCAATTTAGTTTTTCACAAGGAAAAAGACCAAAATGGTAAAACAAACAAAAGCTAGGAACTGACAATGTTTCCTTTAAACATAATTAATAAGGTGATTACCAAAGGGGCTAATTCCTAATTACCGTTTAAAAAATTTAAAAAGCACTTACTAGCTTATTTCCCTTAAAAAATACAGACACATATATATATAAAGGTATTCATATTACTCAATCTATATCTTCTTTGGATAACTATATACATATCAAATGTTCTTTTCCAGATTAAAACAAATTGAGGAGATAAGCAATGAAAAGGTATAATTCCATTCCTCAAATAAGTTGTTTACACTTTCTTCCCAATTTAAAACATGAGACTTTATATCCATTGCAAGTAATCCAATTGAAATGCAGGTTAATTATGAGCTTTCTCGTGCCAAAGAGGAAACTGGAGTAAGGTAGGGGTGAGGGGAAGGAAGCCATTTGGTACCTGATATGATCGGGCTTTTTCCTGTCATGTGAAAAAATGGGGCAGGATTAAAACATACGGGAAAGGTGGTAAAAGAATGAAAACGCAAATGTGCAAAATAAGCAAAAGACTAGCATGATATGAAAATAAAGCAAGAATTAAAGGAACCAGCTTAAGCTCATAACCTAACAAAAGAGTCAAAAGTATCTGTTGTATTTTGCTCACATATTATACATACATGCATTTATACAGTTAATTCCAATTCTTAGGGATCTGAAATGCTAATATTTCAGAAATATTCAAAATTTTCTTCAAAGCATTATGGTATAGAAGGTTCTGGTAGGACTTAGCACACTCTGCTATTATTTTCTGCCTCTATGGTCATAGCTGTAAAATATAAATAGTACCTTTCCTCATCTTAAAA